GGTAAAGTTTGGTTGCGCCATGACCGCTCCATCTGTAAGCATGCTTGATTTTGGCTGAGTCTCCCTTCAACTCTCTGAATCAGGCTTTCCACGGATATCCAGGAGGAGAGTTTCCCAGGAGTTGACAGTATCGTGATACCACGATAGCTGGAACACTCAGTCGCCTGACCCCGTTTAAGTATCGGGACAATGTTCACACGATTTCTTTCTCGAGGGTAACGTTTCCAGGTCCACATTTGATGAAATGAGCCATTGAGCTTTTCCATCATTTCCATTCCTACGTATTTAATGAACTCCAAAAAATGGGCCTTGTGTCACTGATTTTCGTCGCCTTGGGTTCTGAGTACTTCTGTGAAAGAAACAATGCTGATATATGTCTTCACATCACAAGTGAATAAGCATATTTCGATTTAATTTATCAAAATTGAACTTACTATAATTGAGCACGTCATGTTGTCACTGACGTGCATCATGCCAGCGGTATTATTGAATTCTCCACAGTAATTTGGGGCACTGAATAGCGTCAGCAGTCGGTTGCCGGCAAAAAATTCGAAGCCATTGCTTACTACCTAAAGTTTCTTCATGCCAAATGAACACTAATTATTCATATGCATTTTATAGGCTTCTTGCGAAGAATCGTTAATTAAAAATTGCACAATGCTTTATGCAATCGATCGAATGAAGAAAAAATTTTTCCAAATTCGTTGGTTCACTGATTCAGTAATTATGTTGTTTATATCTAGATTATATACAACATAATATGGTTCTCGCTCTTTCTCTCTATCCATCCATCAATTCTCGATCTATTTGTCTACCTAACTATTTTTTATAGCATTTTCTCGGTTAGAACATTTCTAAAAATAATTCTTTGGCGAATATACCTCTGATACAGCACTAAGCATTGTTATTTTGCATTTTTAAGTTTATGCCTTAGCCCTAATGTAGGCTGTAGCTAAGTCGGTAATGCAGAAAACTTGCACATCACCAGTCTAGGCTGAAAAGTAAATTGATTCCCTCCTCCGATACCGAATTTGACGGATTACCGCTCTGGCGGGAACCTGTTCAAAATGATGAGAAGCGAATAATTAAGAAGTAATACTTTATTTCCATGGGGCTGCAAAGGAGAACAAAAGGGCAGAAGATACGAGAAAGTCCTTGATATCTTCCAAGTACTTTACAGTTCTTCAGTCATGTGAAGCAGAAACAGCTGCCTCAGATAAACGTAGTTTAATTTACGAGGACGGTGTTACATAAGCAAGTACTCAGTTTTTTCTAATAACTGGTAAGTTTGTCAGGGGAGAAGTTCCCTGTGGTATGGTGTGGGGCAGCCGAGCGAGTTCTAAAACCGAGTAGATGAGCCTCGCACATAGGCTCACTAATTTTGCTACTTGTGGCCTTGTTACGCCGTTACCAACTGTGGCTATATCAGTCGAAGTTCACGTTTTAAAATGCATATTGGCCCATTTGGTCCAAGATGTGTTGTCGGTGAAGGGGAGACTCATGAAATAACAAGGCTTCACATTAAATTGTCAAGTTGGTTTCATGGTAAATACAGTTCATGTGTGTCAATGTGTCGCTGCGTAACGATGACGTAAACTGTGGCTTGTACTGTGAGGAGATCAAAGGGAGACTGGGTGGCTCTACACGCAAAAATTGACGATGTACCACACCACCCCACATGACGCCAGTAACATATGGTTGACCAGCATTGGGCGGTTGGTGCATCTGTGATCATACTTGCTTCAGAGGATCAAATTGACTCTTAAACTAAACGGTCAAAAAGGTTCGTCTCCACGTCTGTTCTTCATTCACTTCGGATACGGTATGTTGTCACACGATTTCCTGATGAAAAGGATAATGCAAAAATTCAGGCATTCCCAGCGATGTTTGCCGATGACCGAACCCACTCATTTTGCTCAGATTATAACTACAAGGAATGTTAACACGTCTGAGCTGCTTCCAGGCTATGACTCGCTACCCGTTCCTTAGTCGATGCTACAAAAACAGGTCGGTATGAATCCATTGCTGAAGGTCATCAGCCGTTGATAAGAAAAAGATTACGACTGGGTTCGAACCATAACTTTGGTAAGACAGGTGAAACAACCGATCGCGCCAATACTTTCTAATAACTGAACCAGATATATTATCATTATCTTCAGGTCACTTGATTTGCATGGCTATCAGTTAATGCATCGTTTCTGAGGTTATCGTGACCGGTCTCTCTGTCAATCGCTCTCCTGTAAATATTGAATGACCTACTCAAAGTTTTACGACCTCTTGATATGTATTCTGCGATTATAGCTCGTCAAACTA